ATGCAGAATTCGATGCAAGTGACGTGCGACAACTTTGAAGCTAGTGGCAAAAAGTGACCGACACCCAATTATATCTTCCTGAAAAGTCAAGAAACAGCGCAGACACAAGGGCGTGTGTAGATTAAATAAACCCTTAAATGCTAAGAAAAAAAAAAAAAAAGGATGTACAATCCACATTGTCCCCAGCACAGGAATTGCATGGCACATCCTCAGACTATCTGTAGCAAGCCCAGCTCTAGTGATCCACACAGATTTACTCCAGGCAACGATCAAGCCCATTAGATCTGATCTTTCTTCTATCTGCAATATTTATCATCTCAGACAATGATTTAGCTCTCTGCCACACAATCTTATGAATCCCATTTTACATGCCTCGTGCCCCGAGCCCGTTCAGCTTACGTCAGCACCACCACATTCATCGCGGCCATGGGGATTTGCTTTTTGCCCAGCCTGGCTGCAGCAGCCAGAGGCCGGAGCACGTACCGGCACAGCTGGACCTACGCTGCTGCGGCACCGCGGGTGCCTTGCCACCCTGGTAGCTTTCTAGACGTGCTCCTACAGGCCACAGATCTTTGGATCTGCTTTGAATTTTCATAACCATCCTTCTTGCTTCATGAGACACAGCTGCTGTCGCCTGTTTGCTTTCCTTTGCTGGGTTTTCCTCCTCCGAAGCCAGCAGCGGTGCCTGCAAGTGCAGAGACCCTGCTTCTGAGCTGTCGGAGCATCAGAAAACGCCCCAAATGCTCAGCACAAGGCCTGCACCATCTGGCTGTGTCACTCACCTCCAGACACTGTCATTACCTTCATCTCCAGTTCGGAGCAGCTTCGGAGAACAGGGGCCAGACTGTGCCCTGCGGTGAGTGCAGGAGAAAACCGGGAGAGGCGAGACACCGATCAGCAGCAGGCAAGAGCCCTATGCCCTCTGCCCACACACACATCATACCCTCTGCTCCTCGTCACTGGAAAATGAAACTCGTGTCTTCTGGAGGAGAAAACTGGAATCAAGCCCTTGGTTATGACAGGAGCTATAAGCATCTCATTACTTTGAGGGGAAGGATTTCATCTCACTGCGTATTACAAGACCCTGCTTATCTCCAGGTTCAGAAGAGAGACCCCAAAACCCAAGAACCCATCATCTTGCTGCTCCCTGATGGAAAACGCGGCATTTCACAACCTCCCAGCCTGATCCAAGTTCCTTTTCCTTTGTCAACACAACCAGAGTTCATCCAGAATCGCTATGATAACAGACTTGTATACACTCTGCCGAGACAGCTGGCGTTAGTTCTGCTTCCAAATAACCTACAAAAAGAAACTACAGCCTCGCAACAGCTGTACCACAGAAGTTCTGTACAGCACTTGAGCATCTCCCGTTCTTCTGTAACCTTCTACCACCTTTTGTAGTCTTTCAAAACCTGAAACAGGCCTTTAATAAAAACAACAGTCCCTTTTGCATGAGGAAAGTGAAAAGCAACTCCATTTTCTATGTAAAACAACAAAAAAAGAGCAACTGCCAGCGATCAGGGAAACGCACAGCCATTGGAAGTGGCAGAAGAGCTCACCCACACTTTAATGGATGGGCACAAGTGTGCTGCTCCAGTGAAAAGAAGGAACAAATCCTGCTTGGGAGCATACAGCAGAGTTGTTCTCCCGATTCATATTTTATGCTCACAGCTAGAGACTGTCTGACGGCCCACTCAGATGTGCGGGATGTTTTCAGCTGCGAAGGACAAAGCACTCGCTGCGAGCGCCTTCAGTTACTGCAGATACGGCCAAGCACACTGACCTCATACAGCGATTTCCTGGTATTTGAAGTTCCCAGCCTTTGGCCAAACCAAACACGTGAAAAATAAGATTTGTCTCGAATGCAGCTGCCCCAGGCGAGCAGCGCGCGATGTTCTCCGAGGCCACCCGCATCCCGGACAAAGGATCACATGAACACTTCCCTGTGTCAGCAGCAAATCCCACAGCTGTGGAACACCACCACAGACGCCTTGAGCGAATCCCTCTGTAACCATCGCCTTGGAGAGTGTCAGGCTCCAGCTGGTATCATCTCTCTAGGAAAGCCCCACAGACGCCTTGTCCAGCATTCAGTCCTGACCTAACGGCTGAGAGACAGGGAAACTGCCTGGCTCGGTTTCCAGTTTACATCACAAGACCCTTGGATGCATGGGCACGCAACTTCCAGCTCTGGGTCACTACATACCGTGCCCTTCTCTCCCCAGTTCTACTAATAGACTTGGAGAAGACGCCGTCCCGTGCCAGCCCTGGTATTGAAGACTTTACAATGGACTATTCATCAGCAATCTCTTTTCCTCTTTTTAGTCAATTATTAAACTCTGCGACTTACGCAACTGCTCCGCACGTTCTTCCAACACCGCTTGTTGCCTCTTTCGCCACTTTAATTAACTGTTCTTTTGTGATGATTCCTCTCTTCTCCAAATTATCTAGGAATTTTCCACGTCCCAGCACATGGAAAGCTTTAGGGAAATTAAGGCAAGAAATCTGCGAGATGTAACTTTTGTTCGCAGAATTGGTCAAGTCAGGGAAGATGCTGCGTTAGTCTAAGACAACATACCTTTAGTAAACTCAGGTTTACATGCACCCAACTGCTTACAACTGTCTGGGGCCGAGGCAAGTAAAACGTGACTCCCTTAGAGCAATCTTATTCCTCAGTCCCTGGGAAATCTGTCATGTCACTCAGAGTTCCTTGAGTTGAGTTATTCCGGTGGGTGTGCAAACCAGTTACAGATAGAGAACCAAGTGCTGCTTTGTTTGGACAATGTAAATAACACCAGTAGTTTGAATATAACCAGGCCAGACTTGCAATGGCAGAAGTGATAGAAACTATGCTTAAAAAAACGTATAAAGTGTCATCATAAATCATACCAAACAGGAGTTTCTATATTAAGATTTAACCTTCAGTCTAAGCTCCTTCACAAAACAGAAGGGTAAATAATCCTCTTCAACAGGTCTTCCATGTCAAATTACACACCAGTCGGTACCTACAAACACTAGCAGAGCTACTCAAAGAGGTAGACTCGGATGTACCTGGATTAAAAGCTGTCTGAGGCCTCACCGAGCTCCCAGATGCTTGGATTTTAGCTGTTCAAGGTCTTGGATTCCTGCCAGCAACTCCACACTTCTGGTCCTCGTCTGCTCTCCAAGCAGCCACGGAGTCAGTACACAGCATTCGGCCAGCACAGCGGAACTGGAAACGGCACACGGCAAAACTCAATGAACCCCTCGACTGGCCTTGACACACCCGTGTAGCTTTGCCACGTGAGAGTCAAGACTGGCAGTGGTGGCCCCATTCCTCGTGACGCTAATGGCCAACACTTGCTACTGGTTTATTTCTTGGCTTCCAATTCTTCCATTTTCAACGAGGTTTATACCCATTGCATCCCATTTCCATAGCTGACCTGTTTCAATAGTTACACCCCATTGCTTGGGCTAAGAAATACCGACTTGTAGCACATCACGGCTTTTGACCAGAAAATGAGATGCAACACCAAGGCAAAACCCACAAACCTGTACAAACTGGACAGCCTGTAAAATTGGGAAACAAAAGTCAGCTTATGGCAGCTAAACATGCTGGATCTCCCCCACATTTTAGAAGCATGGACAAGGGGAAAAGCGTGGATATGCGCTATGTGACCTGCAATTTTATTAATAGCTTGTGCATGCCATCCCACCTGTAATGAAGAGATCATGCTTCTCAGCTATAAAAGCAGAAGTCTCTCACAGGGAGTCTAAATGTTTGTATCAAAATATCAGCATCTTCTGTATAACCCACATGCATTTGGAAAGCTATCCTATTCCCACAATGCTGCAATAGGAAATGAATGGAATAGTCAAGAGTTCTTAAGATGTGAAGAGCAAAAGATGCAGCCTGGTGAGAAGTCCCTTTCATCCCTACCATTTCCATTGATGTACTTTTGTCATTTTTGATCAGTGTTTAACAGAACAGGCATCCACAACTTGGTCTTTTTTGGCTTTATTGCTCTATGCCAGGCTGTCTGCAGAAAGCATCGGGGAATTGTTGGAACACTGAGAAGGCAGGAGTGTCTCTGTTAAGAGCCACTAGAGACCAGAAGCAAGTAAGATGAACTTGAAAGCTCTAACAGAACATCAAGTGCAATTCCACAGGTGCTCCAACTTGCTCTCTCCACCTGCTTTATATCAGGGATCCATTCCTTACACACACACTCAGGACAAAAAAAACCCAAAACAACCAACAACTTCCCCCCCAAAGCCCCCAAAATACACAAGTCCTCAAGTGAAAGTCTTACAATACCAATCTTTATTCAAGACAGACTGAAAAATAATAGTTATTAGTACTTCATATTTACTTACCCTGAAAATAGAAATCAAATATCCTACTTAGCCAGTATTAACCATTTTTAAATGAGCTGATGAGCTCCAGCTTATTTCAAGTACATATAAACTTCAAGGCAACAGAGAATGCATTTATCATTTTCATGTGTGTGCATACATACACACACATTTGCTGCCACCTTGTGAACAGTCTCTGAATGAGGAGGTTTAGTTCATACGGACCTGACTGCCACCTTTATTCACATTTAACTCAACTGACTTTAATATACCTTTTGAACAGGTACTGAGTGTGACACTGGGTGGCTGAATCACAGAATGGTTTGGGTTGGAAGGGACCTTAAAGATCATCTACTTCCAACCCCCCTGCCATGGGCAGGGACACCTTCCACTAGACCAGGTTGCTCCCAGCCTCATCCAGCCTGGCCTTGGACACTTCCAGGGATGGGGCATCCACAGCTTCTCTGGGCAACCTGTTCCAGTGCCTCACCACCCTCTCCAGGAAGAATTCCTTCCTGATAGCTAATCTAAACATTCCCACTTTCAGTTTAAACTCGATGCTTACTGAAGAAAATTTCAAAAGGCTTAATAAAATAACCTTGTCTTCCACAATTTCCATACACTTGTGTGTCACAGTTTATTGCCACAAACATTTATGGAAAATATCACTAAATTCTCTCGGATAAAAATATTGCAGCTTTGCATCCAAGCTGTATAGCTGTCTTCAAAACTGTGTAAGCCGGTGCCTGTAAAACAAAGATTAAATACACCTACCGAAGTGTTTACTGAAGGAATAGTAAGCATTAACTGAAATAAACCCTACCAAAACGAAGAAGAACCACAAACAGAGCCAAACTACACCACAAAAACCCACCTGTATTTACATAATCTACTCTAGAGAAAACTAAAAGGGATCAACTTTGCAGAATGTTTCCATTTCTCTACCCACGTAAGTCAAAAGAGGGAGGAGAGGAGTCACACATTCCTCCTACACTATTCAAGGGAGCACAGAATTTGTATGTCACATTCCTAACGCGGCTGTGTTTGTCTACCAAGACGATGCCCCAACTTCCAGCTGTATGGACAGCACGAATTACCTCATCTTCAAAAATATCGAAAATCTAAACTTTAAATAAAACCAATAACTGGGCAGAGTACACCTCTCAGGAAAATACAATCACTTTAATACGAGTTCCAACAGATTTCAATCCTGTTCTAGAAAAATGAAGTTATAATATGCAGTGTTCTTTCCCAAATACAAATACAAGAAAAAAACAAGCACCTTACGTTCTATTTCTCAAATAAAGAACTACATCACAGTCCAGGAAGGCAAGAATACCACATCTACCTCCTCGCTAACAGTGCCAATTAGTTAGCATTGTACTTACCGCTTCCGCATTGTGCTCAAGCCCAATGTCATGGTGCTCCCGTTCATCATCCCGGAATTGCTTTATCATCTTTAAAAGTAGCAGTTAATGAGTAAGTCTACCTTGCAGAGCAATCGAGGCAGCTTAGCATACAAAACTATAAGCTGTTGACCACTGCATGCACCACCTGAGCCACAGGTCTCTCAAAAGCTTCTCAAAGACCCAACTCGGGTTCAGCAAAAAGGCAATTTACAGCATTCCCCAAGCCTAAAGTTCTTTTAATATTCTCAAAAGGTCTTTAAAAACTAAGCTGTTGTTTAATATACCACTCTCTTTTTCACAGTTTCAAGAAAACCTATAGTCATTGTAACTCAACACTAATTAGCCTCACACATACAAATTATTCTGGCACTTGAAATAATGAAATTAAGGTCCCTGCCTTGCCAGATCATCAGTAAGGGTGTTCTCCTGTAAGCCAACAGGGCTTCTCTCCATTGCAGCATACTCTAGTATGGGCACCAGTTTTCTATGGTAACTTTTCAAATGGGACAGAAAGGTTTACACAATTTTCTCTGGAGATGCCTGCAGATAACTGGGATTGCTTAATAAAGCGCTCAGCGCCTACACACGCCCAAGCACCATCCCTACCCAACAGGTTCGCATCACTTTCAGCTTCCTCACTAGTCCTCCTTGTATTGACACTGCGAGTAACCCCATTGCTTAGCTTTTTCACTTTATTTTGTCCCCTCTCAGGTTGCAGTCTTTACTTTCAGGGGCAGCATTTCCCTTACACATGTCAGCAAAGCCTGGGTTACTTCAGATATTACTTCTGTACCAAGTTACTATTAATTACTTCTCTAACAAGACACATTTGGGGTAACCAGACTTGGCTACATGTTAAACTATCGACAATTAAACATGCTAGTTTGGTCTAGTGCAAGATGTCCCTGCCCATGGCAGGGGGGTTGGAACTAGATGATCTTTAAGGTCCCTTCCAACCCAAACCATTCTGTGATTCTATGCTGTTAGTCGGCCAAACTGGAAATGAAGGTACAGACCCTGAAGCAAGCTCCCACCAAACAGAGCACAAATGAGCTCGATGTGCTGCCTGTGGAAACAGCGCACCCCTCACAAGCACCCTACAGGAACGTGTCCCCATTTGATGCCTACAATACTTGGGAAATAGTTTTCTTGCAGAGCTAACAAACATTAGCACCTTATGTGCCCTGACCAGTATTCAAGATTGGAATTTGCACCAGGGTGCTGGTCAGCAGCAGACTCCGTAGGAGCCAGGAGTGGGCCCTGGCAGCCCTGAGGGCAAACCGCGTCCTGGGGTGCCTCAGGCACAGCACAACCCGACCGTCAAAGAGGCGATTGATCATCACGTTGTATTCGCATTGGTGCGGCTTCACCCTGAGCACTGTGTGCAGTTCTGGGCCCCAGGGTTTAAGAAGGATGTGAAGGTCTCTGAAAACATCCAGAGGAGGGCAACAAAACCAGTGAAAGGGCTGGAAGGCATGTCCTGTGAGGAGCAGCTAAGGACTTTGGGTTTGTCTAGTTTAGAGAAAAGAAGACTGGGGGGGAGGCTCTACAGATTCCTGAGGAGGGGACGTGGAGAGGGAGGTGTTGAGCTCTTCTGCCTGTACCTAGCTACAGGACGCATGGGAATGGTTCAAAGCTAGGCCAGGGGAGGCTTAGACTGGACATTAGGAAGCATTTCTCTACAGAGAGTGAGGTGAGACACTGGAACAGGCTTCCTAGAGAGGTGGTCGATGCCCCTAGGCTGACAGTGTTTTAGAAGCATTTGCATAATGCTCTTAATAAAATGCTTTAACTTTTGGTCAGCCAGTTGGGCTAGATAATTGTTGTAGGTCCCTTCCAACTGAAACAGTCCATTCTAATCTAACTATGTAATTAGATCCAGTATAAGCAAAATGTTATTATGCAATCAAGTTTTCTCCTTTTGTTTCCCCTCTAACACTTCCTTTCAATTAAAGGTAATCAAAATTAAAGCACAGTTCCCCCAGTCAAAAGGGAAATGCTGACTTACTGAAAGCATGCTGAAGCTAATCCAACATACATTGTAATTTTGGTGCTTGACCAATCTAGTGCTGCTGAAGGAAAAAACATCCTTTTCCTTAAAAGAAAGCTTCTGTTGACTTCAGCATTCTGAGTAACAGAACAGAGAGATCTACTGGAAATTCTATCAGCATTACTTTAAAAGACTAAAGTCTTATTAAATAATTCAATGAGTAAGTTAAACTACTTTTAAAGTCACAGCTAAATACCTGCAACAGTTCTTTGTACTTTTCCGGATCTTCTTCCATAAGAGTTCGGATCTGACTATTGTAGTGATCCGATATACTCTCTTCCACTGCCACGGTGCAAGCCATTGCACCTTTCTTTCCAAGTAAAGCACTTCCAGCCCCTACGATTGTGGTACCAAACATACAGACAGTGAAAACGGAGGCACTGCAAATAATTTACCCATTTGAAGACTTGACAAAACGACAGTAATTGTAATAGCACAAACTCACCCAAAACAAAACCCGCTACATTCCAAAAGGGCAGTAAAACAGTAGGTCGAACTCTGTATGCAACCATTAGTTCATTGAACTTTTTCAGGTGGTCTTTTTCTTGATTCCACATTTGCTGCAAAATAATCAGATTCCAGTAAGGTGTAAAGCCAGAAAAAAACGCAAACATTTCCCACAAAACTAACAAACACAAAGAAACCAGCGGAGGCGACTCAGGCTTTGCCTGCGGCAGTAACAGCAGTCGTGTCACGAAAAGGGAACAGGGAAGCAGAGCAGACGAGGAGAGTTATACGTCGGCAACATAAAAACACTCGCCAAACAAGCGTCTCCGTGACGACACTACAGACGGAGCGCTGGTAACCCCCTTCCCAAGCCCTCCCAGCACTCATACACCCACGCTTCAAAGCATTTAGAAGGAGACAGCTTCAGTCCGTCATTAGGCCGAGCCCCGCTGACCTGGATAACGGGTCCCACGCTCGACCTGCCCAAGACGGCCATCTGCCCCGCGTAGATGCGGTTCGCCCCGTACTCCCCCGCGTGGTCCACCCGGATGATGCGGTCCAGGACGGGCTTGTTCATGCCCTCCGGCGGCACCCGCGCGCTGCAAAGCCTGAGGGAAACC